TGGTAACAATTCCAAAAGGAACAAAATCTTGATATCTATATTGAGGGAACTGCTGCAAATTTATCATATTCAGTTATTCTTGAGCTCCCATTGAAAATCAAGTAGGAAACCTCGAAGCCAATTTTTTGTACTTTAGAGGCCTTCTCAACATCTATTTCATTACTCTCTGAAACAAGGGCCACAATTTGCAGATTATGAGTCCTTAAGATCTTCATTTTTTTCTTAGTCAAAGATCGGTTCACCCACATAATCTTCATCATCATCATCATCATAGATTTGATCTATTACAAGATCTTGTTCGTCATCTAAGTATGTATCAAAAATTGGTGGCCGATCCCCATCTACATTTTGTTGATTTTCGATACGACCTACACCAAAATCAAGCTTGTTCTCCTTCTAATCATGTAGATCAACTAAATCCCATGACTTATTCTCATGAACATGAGGCTCCCAACACGGAGTGCGTGCATAGAACAGGTGGTTGAAGGCAGCTTCATCATTTCTCTCGAACTCTGAATTCGACTATGATTCACGCCATTCTTCATAATAACCCTCACGATTTGGATCTCTCCCCATAAATTCCACTTCGTTTAGGGCACCTTGTTGCTCGCCTCGCTTGTGTACCAATAGTTTTGTAATCCTCTCCATTAAGTTGTTGATTTCCTTGTGCAGTTGGATTAGATCAGCATCCCTATGGCTAAGATCTCCATGACAAGCCATCATTATTTCCAGCAGTCCTCAAACCATGCTCTGATACGACTTGATGCAGGAAGGACAAGTGTGAAGTTAAATCCACCCTTTTCTTGAATCTTAAACAAGTAAATCAGCATTAATGGAGAAAGAACAAAGCCGAAGATCAAACTAAGAGGAGAATTTTCTTTCATAAAATAAAATTTATTCTCATAAGGCCTCGAAAAATACATCCAACCTTTTATAAGCCCATGAAACCGTAATTTAACTTGAGATCCATGTAGCATATACAACTCTAAAATATCCCTAAAACAATACTAAAATTCGAAAATTTGAAACATATCCCTTTGAATAGTAATGTGTGATCATTATGTGTAAACAGTAATTATGAACAATACCACGAATAGTAAATAAAGAAAATATAAGGAACCCTAGAATCTAAAAAAAACTTAAAAATCCTAAAAATAAATCCTAAAACTAAAATCAAAATATACAACCTTTAAAATTGAATAGAAATTAAAAAAAGAGTATAATTTTGCCCTTCATCAAAACCGTATCCCACTGTCATCTTCTTAATTTGACCCAACAGAATGCATGACCAACAGCCCATTGCAGTGGTTCATATCTCACCCATCAAAGCCAACTAATAAATGAAGGGAACACGATCCAAACTATGGATTACAGGTAGGATTGCCATCGGGCTGGCCGGCCCAAGGCCTGGAAAAGCCCGAAAAACCATTTGAACCAGCTCAGTAAGGCCCATCCTGATATTTATAGGTGAGGAGCCCGGCCCAAAAGAATCTATTGGGCGGGGCCTGGGCCAACCCAATGAGAAGCTTTCTTTTACTTTTTTTTTTATTGTGTCTCTCTACAAATTTTCTTGTTTGTAGGAAGCCAAAATAAATAAATAAATAAATAAATAAATAAAGAAATAAATAAATAAATAAATATATATATACACACACATACACACACACACACATATATATATGCTAAAATATGTTTTCAAAAAATTTAAAATTCCTTAAAAAGGCATTAGAAATAAAAAATATTGGGAAGAGGGTTGAGTGGATGTGGCTACTCACCGCCTCATTCCCCATCCTCATCGCCTCCTCTCTCTCTAAAAATCCACATAGGATTGCCATCGGCCTGGGGGGTCGGGCCAGCCCAAGGCTTGGAAAAGCCCAAAAAACCATTTGAACCAGCTCGGTAAGGCCCGGCCTAATATTTATAGATGAGGAACCCGGCCCAAAAGAATCTATTGGGCTGGGCCTGGGCCAACCCAATGAGAAGCTTTCTTTTTCTTTTTTTTTTGTCTCTGTTAAAATTTTTCTTGTTTGTAGGAAGCCAAAAGAAATAAATAAATAAATATATATATATATATATATATATATATGTATATATGTGTGTGTGTGTGTGTGTGTGCGCGCGCGCTAAAATATTTTTTTAAAAAATTTAAAATCCCTTAAAAGGCATTGGAAATAAAAAATATTGGGAAGAGGGTTGAGTGGATGTGGCAACTCACCGCCTCATTCCCCATCCTGATCACATCCTCTCTCTCTAAAAATCCACACTCCCTCAAAACGTGTTTTCTCACCCATCGTCTCGTCTCTCTTTCTCTCTCTAAATATCCATTCACTCTCTCTTTAGAAATCCAATTTTCTATGACATTCAATTGAACCCCCCTATGCATTGAGATTGAAGCAATTGGGGCAAGCTTTTAGGGTTTTCTTCAAGCAATTGAAGGTTTTGCAGGACTCCAGCTTATCGAGTTTGTGTCCAAATCTTGGACTCGAACACTATTTGGGTCCGAGTCCGGGTCCACTTGGGTTTGGTCGGGTGCAGGTCCCACATTATGTTTTCGCCTCCTAATTTATGAAATATATTTAAATACAAAGATATTTTAATTTTTGGGTCTGGTCCGTGACTTCAGATCTGGTCAGGTTTGGGTTCCAGAATACTCCTTCGGGTTCAGGTCTAAATTGACCTATTGCCACCCCTAGATTTGCATCCAAATCTTGAGGACAGTTGGGGATGCCAAGTCACCTATAACGGGGTAAAAATCATCTGGGTGAAATGATCAATGTTTTTATTTTCTTTTTTAAAAAGGAAAAAAGCAAAAGAAGAGGGAACACATTTCTTGCAATGTTTTCTCACCCGCTTCTCATCAAGCGATGCGTATCTCTCTCCCCCTCACATGCAGTTTCCCTTTCTCTTTCTCCCATTTACCCACCCACCGCTTCTCATCAAGTGACGCGTATCTCTCTCCTCCTCACATGCAGTCCCTTTCTCTTTCTCCCACTTACCCACCCGCTGCTTCTCTCTCTCCCCACCCAACACATTTCTCACCACTACATCTCTTTCTATTCTACCCACCGCTGCATATCACTCTACTCTCCTGTGGTTTCCCTTAACACCCAGCCTACGCATATCGCGCTCTCTATCACTGCACCTCTGTCTGCTCTATCCTTGGTCTCTCTCCATCTACAACCAGCTTGTACATTTCTCTCTCCACCAAACAAGCGATCTTGCTTACCTTCTCCTCCACCACATCTCTCTCTCTCTCTCTTCCCACCCGTAGTAGGCATCCAAGAACCCTCCTTTTCTTCTTTTCAGCGAGCAACGACAATGAGAGGCAGCAACTAAAGGCCCCAAAAGAGGCCTTATGTTTCCTCTCTTTCAAAGCATTGAGAGGCAAAGGTGGAGTGAGGACAAAGGGAAAGAGAGGGTGGGAGAATGAGAAGGGAGAGAGATGGTGGATGGGAGAGAGAGAGAGAGAGAGAGAGAGAGAGAGAGAGAGAGGTAGGGTAGGGTACGGTCGTTACGACGGACGGGTAGGGTAGGTAGGGTGGGAGGGGACGGGAACGGAAGGTAAGTTACGTTACGTACGGTTAGTTTAGTTAGTAGTACGTACGTTAAACGTAACG